GCTCTGTCCTCTCCATTGTTCCGTTTGTCGACCTCTAAAATAAGATTCTTCTTGGTCAAAACTAAGTTCCTACCAGTCAGAACTATACATATATTTATCCTAAATATATTTCAGGATGCCAAAAATATAACTGTACTAGTAATCATTGGTATAATCGGGATCCCTAGAAAACGTCTGCAGAGGCTTCAGTTTATTCCAAACTCTGTAGATAGGATCCTGATGATGACTTCAAGGTTTTTACTCAACGTAAAAGACCTTAAAACATTTCTTTTTAGCAAAGCTTTTGTTTCCCTTTAGAGGAAAATTAGCTTTTCCTGCTTTTCTCTTTTTTTTACTCGTAGATCTTTTGATGGAAAGTGCAGAATAAATTAAATGTATCATTATTATAAAAAATACACTTTGAAATGCCTTTGAAATCCTTACAAATTTTTAGTGGACCTTTTGACATTTAATAGCTTGACTGAAAAGGTAATCCAGATATCTAAAATGCATTCCTTCCTAGTCAAAATGAACATTTCAGAATCTAAAATATCTAAAGTAACATTCTTGCTATTTCAAATAAACCTTCAGGACGTCTAAAATTGAATTTCAGACATCTGGATTACATATTCAGTCAGGCTAATGTCAAAACAGCCTGCCGTACCTCCCTCTTCACTGACAGCAGGGATTAACTGAACCGCTGGATAATGTTGTTAATTCATGAGGACGTTTCTAATTAGGAAATGAAATATTACCGATTCTTTGCTAATCCTAAAGAAAAATCATTTAAAGTTAATTTAGAAATGTTATTTGATAAAGGAGCAATATTAACCTGTAGTGGGGAAAAAGTATTCAACTATTCACCCAATTTAAATAAACAGAGATCGATGGATTTCACTCAGTTGGCACTCTATTTTCATATATCTTTGCAAAGAGAGAACAGTTCATCAAACGGCCCTTATTGCACAGTAATCAGCCCTGTTCTGCCTGAGCAGAGTGTTCCCTTTACTTACAATAATGGAAAGTAATCAGAGAAAAAATAAATTACAGACACTTTGGTTAAACAGTAACATGTTAAGAATTAACATGAGAAAAAAACCTGGTTTGTTATGGAAGAAGCTACGTCTTGTCTAAAAACAGCCTCACACAGGAGAATCATGCGGCCTTGCAGGTGAAACTGGCTGAGTGAAAACTTTTATAGTGAATAAATAAGATAAATTAATATATGAAATAAGAGAAATTAAATTTTTCAACCACAAACCTCAGCATGAAACGCCCCTCTCTGCCTCCAATTAGCTCACTGGTCGTCATGCCTCTAGTTCACCAATGTAACCAGTTAAGCCAGTGAGTACTGGCCAATTAGAAGCAGAGTAGCGCATGTGATGGCTTCACTGTCTCTGGAAAAAAAGGGAAATTTGGATTGGAGATTTTGCTTAATAGTGCGGATCATGTAGGATTTATAAGTGGGTATATGCAATGCTGATTGAAGTAGATATACGCCGTATATCTGTGCATACTCTAGACTAAACCTCTGGGTCATCGGTTCTGTTTCCGTTTGTCCCGCAGCTCCGACCCGTCTGAGGTCAACATCTCGGATGAAATGGCCAAAAGTGGAATCTGGAAATCCGTCTCCAAAAACTCTGAAGGAGGCAAAGGACTGAAACGCTGCAAAAGGTAACCTAGCAACTGCTGATGTCATCGCCTGTGCCTCGCTCTGATTGGTTCCTTTGTATCTCTGAGCCACTTGTAGTTGGAACCCAAAAGTTGCTGCATTTCAGGCTGAAGAATGAGCAACGATTCGGACGTTTTCAGGAGGAAATTAGAGAAAAAGTTCTGTTTTTAAGATTTTCTTGGTTCTAAAGGATCGTTTTCTGTTGCTGATTTCCTTCCCTTGGAAAATGAAAAGAAAAAAATGGATCCAATTAATTTTATTTTGGTTCCATTGAAACTTTTTTTATTGAAGGTATTAAACCGAAGGAGGAAGATGGAGTTGGACGAGATGGGAAGGTAGTGGGGCTGAAACAGTTAATCGGAATAATCAACAATTGAATAATCGTCAACTAATTTAGGAATCGATTGTTAGCTGGAATACGGCTCTATAATGAGCCTTTAGCTGACAGCAGTAATTGTATCAAATAGTAATTGTAATGTAATTTCTATCCACAACTTCTCAAGTGGAAAACTTTCAGTTTCACCTGGTTTAAGTTTGGAAAAAATCTCCTTTAGGGAAAATTATGCTATCAGATTTTTTATCAATTAAGCAAAAAAATAATCCACAGATTAATTGATATGCAAAATAATCGTTAGTTGCAGCCATATTGTCAGGTTGGTGAAAAGTCAACCTGCCAGATTATGAACGTGCAGAAAAATCAGTAATGGGGGAAAATTTTGATGTCTGTGAATTAATCTGAGCTACATTATGTAGAGAAGGACCTGAAAACGCAGGGATGTAAAGATTCCTCACCAGGACGCTGTTTCCATACTGAACTGACTCTGACTGAAAAGGACCAAAGACTATAACTTCTGTTTGTCTGCATTCAGAAGCAGAAAGTTAAGAGTCATCCAGGTTTTTCTGTCTTCAGACATGCCTGTAATCTATGTAATGGGTTAGCTTCATCTGGATTATAGACAGATATAGCTGGGTATCATCAGCATAACAGTGGAAATTAATCCCATGCTGTCTAATAACTCTACCTTCTTATCTTCTAATGCAATAAGGAAGAAACATCATCAACAAGATTGTCAATATGTGGGAGAA